ATGTGTATTAGAAGTTGCTGTCTGAATTACGGTTGTTAATTTTGTTTATAGATTTATTAATTGACTGTTTTCGCTAACTTAAAAAATCGTGCAAACTGAAAAATAAGGTAATTTATGGTTAAAACTTTTTATGGCATGTATATAGAATACATACACAAACGTGGGTATAGTAAAAATTTACTGCAACCAGTAACAAACTATCTCTTGATACAGGTGTATCTGTTTTATGGAATAATCTACCATTTAGTTTAAGATGTTGTACATATCTATATTCTTAAAAAAAAAACTATTTAAAACACAGCTATTTAAACAGGCTTTTAACCGACGCTACATGTCCATAATCTTGATTTTTTTTAAGATTAAATTTCCACTTTGTAAAGTGTCCCTAAGTAAGTTACTGGAAGGGTGCACTATAATATATAGTAACAAAATTTTGATTTATAGTATTAATATTACTTTGTCCCCTTTATTTGCAAAACATCTCTCCGATGATAATAATAAATTTGAATTACTTCTCCGTACCAGTTGGAAATGTAATTGTCTAAGCTCTAAATGAAATGTGAAGTTTAATCAAATATAAAATTACAATGCTCTTTGTTTCAAAGCTGCGTTCGTTTGGGGGGGGGGGCACGATGGCTAAGTGGGTAAGACGCTGGCTCGCTAGCCTGGAGGTCGGGTGTTCGATCCCTGCATTGGCCGGGAAAGTTCATCCAGATATTCCTGCGTGATTCCCCCTTGTCAGTGATGCAGGACGGAGGATCTGACAAGGACAGCTGTCAATTCTATTTATACATGTAAAAGCGTGCATGAGCTTATTTGCACGTATTGGAAAACTGTTCGGTTGCTTTATTTGAGAAGATACTGATATTAAACTATAAGATTTGTCAAATTCTTTGTTCATCCAATTAATGTGATTTATATTTGATATCTGTGATTGATATCCGACTATCATAAAAAAAAATGGCCTATTAAAAACTAACATCTAATAACGAGCTATATGTTCTTTCAGAAAGTATTCAGATATCATAAATTATTGGCTAGCCATTATAAAAACGTACAATACACAAACTGGGTAAGCGATATGATCAACCTTCCCTAAGACCTACCAATTTGTCAGAATTTTCAAAGAAAAAATTGACAAATTCTATAGTTTAAACTAGCTAAGTCGCTAATATTTGGGACCTAGAAATTGACACAAATGGGTCGCAACGCATACAATAATGTAATATGAATGTATATAAATTGATTTACATTCAATCGTTTCTGTTTTTACTGTAATTTCGAATCAGTTAGGTTCGGCGAAATACGCCAGTATTCTCAATCGAATTTCAATCTCTAGCTTCTGGTTATTCCAGTCTACGCCGATAGTATTTATTGGGCATGCTCTCCAGAAAAAGAATATAGCGTCACCGTTTGACATGACTTGTGGAATATGCCTAGCCTCGTTTTTCGAGTCCCTTATTACAAATAGCGCTGAAACGCATTATGGTACACGATTCGTGTACCAATTGTAAAATGTTTATTTTGTCTTAAATATTGGATATCAGAATGCCATCTTTTCCCAGTAAGATCACAACATCAATGTTGATTTAAACCGACAAATAAATCGTGTTTTCAATGTCGAAGATTTTGGATGATACTGAGTTAGAGACTTAGCTACTTTAATATAAGTATCTTCTCAAATGAAGCAACCAAATGGTTTTCCCATACCAGCGAATAAGCTCGTGCACGCCTTTACATGTGATAGAATTGTTACTTTGATCAAGGAGCTGTTATTGCTCTGCACGGACTATGCGTGAAACGGTTAGACGTGAAGTCTAAAATGCTTGGGTTGACATTTGAATGGTACAAATTTAAAGACACAAATAATAACTTGTCGGAAGACGAGAATAATTATATTTACGAGAATAAGTATATTTACGAGAATCAGTATATTTACATACGGCAAATTTGGCTTATTCGCTATATACACGGGGATATTTAAATTGGGGCCTACCTATTCGATATTTTTATAAATGATGACATTGCATTTCGTGCGATAGATTAAGGTCAATATTTTTATTTTATTAAATGCAACTTTATAAGTAGCGTGACTATATGGTACGCAGCACAAACGCCAAGTAAAGTCGTAAGAATAGAAGACATGTCTCCAAAAATGATTACGTGTCATATCGGGCGCATGTGCTTCTTTGATATGTTAGATCATGGGACAATTCTGTAATTGCATAAAAGCGGCTATTATAAATTACATGTTCTGGAATGAGGATCTTTGGATTGTATGCGATGTAAATTTAGTAAAAAGCTAAAGCAATTTTAGTTTAAATATATTATAAATTACAAGTTCTGGAATGAGGATCGTTGGATTGTATGCGATCTAAATTTAGTGAAAAGCTAAAGTAATTTTAGTTTAAATATATCATTTGTGTGGAAATTATCACTGTTCGGTTGGTTGTGCCGTATTATTTATCAGTATGGAGATTTCTGTTTTATGGATATTGCTATTGAAGGTAAGATGCACAATTTACGCAATGTGGCACGTTTTTATAAATTCAATAAATGTCAAACGGTGAGTGCGTGTCTTTTTAGTAATAAAGCAGAAATATATTTCTGTTGTTTTTGCTGGATTTACTCTCTATATTCCCGTGGATATTCAAACTGGGCACTGACTGCTGGGTATTTATAAATGACGACATTACATTCGCCTTTCCGTATACGATAGATTAAGGTCCGTATTTTTATTTCATTAAATTCAACTTTATATATATGGTACACAATACAAAAGACACATAAGAGAAACGTAGATCATAGCGAGCACACACGCCTGTCTAAAGACCTGTCTTTAATTATACAAAGACCTGCGTAAAACACACGGTCGAATGATAAATCGCACAGTAAAACAGTTTTACTTCCCAAATTTTGATTTAACACGTACGTGTCAGTGTCAGATAAAGCCTGTTGGCCCTTGATTATACTCCTTTTGATGCAGTTATCGCAACTAGCGAGAAAACAAGCCAATTAAACAATACACAACATTGACATTCATTTTTTACTGGTCGGTTAATTAACACACCTCTACTGAAAACGCACTGTCGCACAGTTTTTCACCCCTAGTGTTAATTAACTCACCTCTCAGACAGTTTTTCACACTTGTTAATCAACACACCTTATTTACAGTTTTAACGCGGTAATACCGAGTAATAGTTGGAAAATTAATTTTCTTTCGATACACGTACAAATAACAACCATGACTGAGAAATATATGGTGGCTGTGCACAGATTCACCCTTTAGCAGTTCTCAGTGTCTAGCGACAAAAGTGATTATCCGATCTGTATGAAATTTATATATGTATCGTTTAAATTAGAAAAAAAAACAAAGCCTATTGAATTTCAGCAATTTCCGCTAAGTACATCTAGAGTTATGGCTCTTGTTTTACTTTGTTGAACCTTGTGAACGTTCGAACGACAAAAGTTATGATCCGATCTGTATGAAATTTATATGCATTATTTGAATTAGTAAAACGAAAAAGCCTGTCGAATTTCAACAATTTCTGTAGATTCCTTCCAGAGTTACGGCCCTTGTTTTAGTTTTTAGAACCTTGTGAACCCTCAAATGACGAAAATTATAATGTCATCTGTATGAAATTGTCTATTAAATTCCCCTAATTGCCTACAAAAGAATAAATATGCGGCAACCCTTGTCGACTCCTCGGATGATTTAGCTGCTGTGGGCGTATGTTTTGTTGCCTGGCAACCTATCTTGATGATTAACGAGTCGATGGTTATTTTAGTTGTGATATTATATAGAATTAGTTCCATGGTTTTCTTATTGAAAGCTCTATTCTTTAAATTTAATATTTTGTGCTGGTAAATAATTTCCATTTAGCAGAGTGTTCGTTAAAGGACAATATTGGTGGCAGTCATTATCACATATGTGTTAGAGCCTGTTAAACACATTCCAAATATACTTTTACCCCATAGATCATTGCTACGATAGCTGAGTAATACAGGTTTCCCGAATCGGAAGTGACGAACGCCAAAGGAAAACCATTGGCCGAGAAAGTTCATCCAGATTTTCCGGCGTGGTTCTCCCTTGTAAGTGATGCAGGACGGAGGGGCTGACAAGGAAAGCTGTCTAGTCGTTCGGATGGGACGAAAAACCGAGGCCCCGTGTACACATTGGCGTGCACGTAATAGATCTCTTGGCAGTGGAATTCGATATAAGAGTAGGCCGTAGTGCCGCTGTCCGGGCAAAATTTCCCTCATAGCACACTGTATGGCGTATGCCCGTCTTCATTAGCCCAGCTTAGGAGCAGAACAGTAGGACGTTAAACTCCATTTCATTTCATATCATTTCCAAAGGAAAACACGAGTCACCGCTCTATATAACTGACTGAAGCGACGAGTGATAACAGATACACGGCCGAATATCTGCTCACTAATAATTCTTTTGAAGACCAACAGTTGTTGTGTGAGACTGTGAGAGGATATCTGACAATTCATAAAAAGAATTGACTGCCACTAGATAAGAGAACACGAAAGAAAAACAGAAAAAGTCCGTGCATTACCATGTTTTTATAAGGTATAGATAGAATATAAACAAGGGAATGTACGGGCTATTTCTATTTTTCTCGTGTTCTTTTATCTAATGACATTCAATTACTTTATTGAATTGTCAGATATCCTCTTACAGTCCCATATAACAACTTTTGGTCATCGAAGGAATTATTAGTGAGTAGAAATTCGACCGTGTATCTGTTATCACTCGTCGATTCAGTCAGTTATATAGAGCGGCGACTCGTGTTTTCCTTTGGCGTTCGTCACTTCCGATACGGGAAACCTGTATTACTCAGCCATCGTAGCAATGATCTCTGTGCTAAAAATATATTTGGAATGTGTTTAACCAGCTCTAACACATATGTGATAATGACTGGCACCAATATTGTCCTTTAAGACAGCAGAAATAGGAGAATGTACAAAAAACTTTTTTTTTTGTATTAAAGGGAGCTCAAGAAGTATTCCAAGAATTACCACATGAATATATTGAACCAGAATATTTACCAAAAATAGCTCGACAAGGCAGTAAGTTTAATATAATAAATATATTACAAAACAGCTGAAGCAAGTTTAGTGTGAATTTATCACTGATCTCCTGTCTTCATTAGCCTAGTCGGAGCAGAACAGTAGGGCATTAAACCCCATTTCATTTCATTTATCACTGATCTGTCATCTATGTAGGCTGTGCGTTTGATCCACGATCGTACCAGATTAACCTATTGGTTTGCCCAGTGTTGTATATCCCAGTACTCTTTGAATTGATTTAGTAGAAATATACTATGCAGTATGTTAGTCTCAAAATTACCTTGTGGCGGTGTTGATGGTATTTCAAAACTTACTTCTGCTCCTCTTTTCATATCTAGCTTCATATCTACTTAACTGATTTTACAGTAGTTTTGCTTGTAATGCTTATTTCAGGCACTAGTAAAGTGTATGTTTGTGTGGTGAGTAGAGATGATCACTATATTCGTAAAGATGGTGGAAAATTTAATGCAGACGAATTTGAAGAGCATCCAGAACTTTATGCTTCAGCTTTCAGTCATAAGGTAAATTTGTTTTTATGATTTATCAATTATTATTATTGAGATTTTTTTTATATAGCATTATTTCCACAAAGAGTGCTCAAAGGCACTTTACAATAAATTAATGAAGTAAAAAAATCACAAATGTTCAAATTACAAATATCATGAACATTAAAAGTAAAATATAATTTGTCTTGGTAACCAAGGCTATGGATGAATGAACAGTCAAAGGCACGGGAAACAATTCAAATCAACATTTGTATTTGAAGAGCCCCAGGGAAGAACGATCTAAAGCACTTCTTCAACGAACCCTAGTTAATGGCGCCATCTGGTAGCAAATTGTGTAAGCTGTGGAACAATCAATTTCAGGTAAAAACGATTGGAGTCGCATCGAACCAAAGGCCCTTTTGAAAATGAAATGGCCTCCCGAGCAATATGTCCTTCGTACCCTTTATTTGACCTTAATTTGGCTGAAAATTAGAAGTCAGTTGTTGTACTGGTAATTATGATTCGTATTAAACATCATTTTGAAGTTGTAATTAAACCCACTCGTTGTTCTGTTCGCGTCAAGCATGCTCGTCCAAAAGTCTGTTTTGCCTTTTATGCGAAAAGACAAAAATGTGACTTAGATCGTTCTTCCCCAGGACTCTTCATATTTCTACAGAACTTGATAGTAGTTAATTAGTTTATTGAATGATTCTTTCTTTCTTAGATTGCTCCCTATGCGTCAGTTATTATAAATGGCATTTACTGGGCACCAAATTCTCCAAGACTTATCTCCATACCAGAAGCTAAAGTACTTCTCCGTCCACTAGATTCACCTTGGATACCTTCCAGTCCTGGATGTCCACAGCTACCACATCGTCTGCTAGCTATCTGTGATATTTCAGCTGATCCCGGTGGTTCAATAGAATTCATGAAAGAATGTACAACTATTGATAAACCATTTTGTTTATATGATGCTGAACAAAATATGGAAACTGAAAGGTATACATAAAGATATACAAATCAGATATATCAGCACCGGTCAGAAGTGTACAAAAATAGTCTTTTTACATAAGGCCTTAAGCATATCTTTGGAATCAATAAACATGAAGATGTCAGAAATTTTACTAATTCATTTTTAGGTCTGAACAACTTAAATGAAATGAAATGTTGTTAAAGATATGTTTTATATTATAGTTTTGCTGGTAGTGGTGTACTAATATGTTCTATAGACAATATGCCAGCACAGATACCTAGAGAAGCTACAGATTTCTTTGGTAGTTTACTTCTTCCTTATATTCATGACATGGTAAGTTGTTACACCATATTTTATATGATATGGTAAGTTGGTACACCATATTTTACATGACATGGTAAATTGGTACACCATATTTTACATGACATGGTAAGTTGGTACACAATATTGTACATGACATGGTCACTTGATACAGAGTATTTTACATGATATGGTAAGTTGGAACACAATAATTTACATGCCATGGTAAGCTGATACACAGTATTTTGTATTACATGGTAAGTTGTTACACAGTATTTTACATCACATGGTAAGTTCATAAGTTAGTACACAATATTTTACACAACTCTCACCTGACAAGTGCTATTTCCACCAATTGCAATAAGACATATATTTTTGGCAATTAAATTTTGAATCTGTTTTTTTGGGGTGATAACTTTTTGTTACACAGTATTTTAGAGTAGTTCATGGCTCAATAATTTGTCCTTATAAAAACTGACAAGCTAATCTGTCTGACTGCACCGTCGAGGAGATTTTCTGGAGTGAGCAACGGTTAATCCCGAGCACGGTGGAGTTGGAGATCGCAGCAAATATACTCTTAAAAAAAAGTAGGGGATATTCAGAAACAGTACAAAACTGCAGAAATGCACTGCTGTTTTTATTAGAGGTAACCAGTGTATGTTAATAACAGGCCCCATTTCACTCGCAAAGAGATACACTGTCAAAAGTAAAAATGGACGTTTTTGATTTTTGTCTTAATGAGTAATTGCTCCAACCAATCCTCAGACATTCAGCAATTCGTCGTCGCATGCTCCTAATCAGCCGTCCAATCATGATTTGGGGCAATCTGACCCACTCCTCTTGCAGTGCCACGGCCAATTCTTGCAGTGTTGTCGGTTGACATTGACGGCAACGAACACGTCTCCCGATCAAATTAAACGTAACACACTAAAGCAAAGATACGCTAAACAGTAAATCTTATGCAAGAACCGATAGGAAAGCAAACATGGATAGGATAAACCAGCAAACAGCAGTTTTCATCAACCCTTCCTTGAAGTGTCAAATTTGACAATTAACCCCTCCCACGTGTATGGCGCTATTGCGTGTCGCACATGCAGCTCAGTGGTTCTGTTGGGGCGATAAGTTCTTCATCTGTGAACATACTCTCAAAGCATGTCAAGTGTCCATGACTATTTATCATATCACAACCTGCATAGGTATTTGCATTTTAATATCCCCTACTTTTGTTGAAGAGTATATATGTCACAAATAGCTATTAAAAAAACATGTATTGGTATATAAAGCCGAGTAAAAAATACACCCATTACGCGCTTGGACTTTCGTGGGTATTTTACAGCAAACGTGAACAAAATTTTTGATTTTGGCGATTTTGGTACAGAGATAGCTATAATATCTTTGTTTCTTTTCTAATTTTCAAACTCATGAGCACGGCAAGATAAACTCATTACAACACTTTGAGATTTACTTTTATTTAGTGGTTACAACCTTCATTTACCTGCCGCTCTGGTGAGTTTAGGAAATAAATATTTGCTAGCTCTAAATATGCAGAACTATTTGAGACCGGAAAATAACCGAAACATTATTTTTATTTGTAGACACTTTTCAGTGTAAATTATTTTTAGGGTATCTTATTTAATTATTTTGTGGCCTTAAGCGTTGATCGACAGATTTTTTTCTAGATCTGAGACTGAGCCCCGCAAGATGGCATCCACCAATGATTTGCTATCCAGCATTGGATTGGACAGTACCCCTATGATTTGAGCACTCATGGCAAAAATCACAAATTGGATTACACTAGGCATTGTTAATAAATTCCTGACAACTTCCGCGCATTGGTCTATCATAACTGCTTTACATGACGACTGAGTGACGTTTGATGACAAAGACATTCAAAATAGGCTGGTCAGACTGAAGACAAAGACTAGGAAGCTGCGACGATTTTCTTGACACCCCATTTTCCCCCGGGATAACCGCATGTTTGGCTGTCGCGGGACTAAAATCTAATTACACTCCTTCAAAATCTACAGTTCAAACAATATCATGTGAGCGTGTCAGTGTATCTTTAAAACATGTATCGGAAACCTTAAAGTCGGCGAAAAATACCACCCTTTATACAGACGAAACTACAAAATATGACTCTAAATTCGGCACATATGCAATAACCGCTGACTCGACACATACACCACATATTCTTGGTCTTCGTGAAATGGCTGATAAATCTGCACAAACTACATTTAGTAAATCCGTTATTTTCGAAATTAAAAATACCATGTCAGACAGAGCCAGCACCGAAAAGCTTTTAATTCTTTATTTACACAATACAGAGGCAGTATTTGCACTAAATTAGTAGAAAACTGGTCAGATTTATCAGATTCAGAGCGAAATATTCATATGAATATTAATAATTTCGTTTGTGGTCTTCATTTATTAACTGGTTTGGCGGATAAAAGCGTATATATGTCACAAATAGCTATTAAAAAAACATGTATTGGTATATAAAGCCGAGTAAAAAAATACACCCATTACGCGCTTGGACTTTCGTGGGTATTTTACAGCAAACGTGAATAAAATTTTTGATTTTGGCGATTTTGGTACAGAGAAAGCTATAATAGCTTTGTTTCTTTTCTAATTTTCAAACTCATGAGCACGGCAAGATAAACTCATTACAACACTTTGAGATTTACTTTTATTTAGTGGTTACAACCTTCATTTACCTGCCGCTCTGGTGAGTTTAGGAAATAAATATTTGCTAGCTCTAAATATGCAGAACTATTTGAGACCGGAAAATAACCGAAACATTATTTTTATTTGTAGACACTTTTCAGTGTAAATTATTTTTAGGGTATCTTATTTAATTATTTTGTGTCCTTAAGCGTTGATTGACAGATTTTTTTCTAGATCTGAGACTGAGCCCCGCAAGATGGCATCCACCAATGATTTGCTATCCAGCATTGGATTGGACAAGTACCCCTATGATTTGAGCACTCATGGCAAAAATCACAAATTGGATTACGCTAGGCATTGTTAATAAATTCCTGACAACTTCCGCGCATCGGTCTATCATAACTGCTTTACATGACGACTGAGTGACGTTTGATGACAAAGACATTCAAAATAGGCTGGTCAGACTGAAGACAAAGACTAGGAAGCTGCGACGATTTCCTTGACACCCCATTGTCCCCCGGGATAACAAATAGCGGACAAGACTCCATCAGCAGATACTAGTGAAATTAATTTCATAAATAAAGAGACTCAGACATCTGCCAATGCGATCATAACTGATTTATGTAGGAAAAATAAGTATTTGAGGCAATTGTCAAAGTGTCATAAAGAACAATCGCCCAGTTAAAAAACAGTTGTATGATGTCGAAAATCAAAGATGTACCCCAGAATGCCATAATTTGGTCATGGAACTTAAACAAGCGGTTGCCATGCAAGATACGCCCACCTTTTGTAAGAGATTGACAGAGAACGAGCTAAAAAAATAGTGTGATTTTTTGTACAATAAGGGGGCCATAATCCAGGAAGATATGATTCGATATGCACGAATATCAAAAGGCACAGAGATGAAATTTATATGCATCATTTAAATTTGTGAAACAGGTCTATTGAATTTCATCAATTTCCGCCAATAATTTCTAGAGTTTTGGCGATTGTGAACGTTTGAATGACAAAAGTGATCATGTGATCTGTATGAAATTTATATGCATTATTTAAATTAATAAAACGAAAAAGTCTGTCAAATTTCAACAATTTCTGTAGATTACTTCCAGAGTTGAGACCCTTGTTTCAGTTTGTAGAACCTTGTAGAACCTTGTATGGAACTGTCTTGTAAAGGCCCCCAATTACCTACAAAGGAATAAATATGAGACAACCCTTGTCGACCGCTTAGATGATTTAGCTGCTGTGGGCGTATGTTTTGTTGCTTGGCAACCTATCTTTATCCGATTTTGTTGAAACTTGAAATGTAAGTTTATAACCCAAAGATCTTGGTTCCTTTCGATATTCGCGCATATCAGACCGTAACTTCCTGAATTATGGCCCCTGATTGTACGGAAAATCGCAGTTTTAGCTTGTGGACCCTATAGAGGTCACATAACCCACAGATTTTGGTTCCTTTCGATATTCGCGCATATCGGACCGTAACTTCCTGAATTATGGCCCCTGATTGTACGAAAAATCATGTTTTTAAGCTTGTAGACCCTATGGAGTTCACAATTTTATTCCGATTTGAAAACGTTTGAATACATTACCGTTACACCTGAATGACTGATATGTTCGAATTTTGTGAAAATTGGACCAATTTTATTCCGATTTAAAAACGTTTGAATATATTACCATTACACCTGAATGACTGATATGTTCGAATTTTGTGAAAATTGGACCAAAACTACCGGACAAAATAGCAGCCCCTCATACGCAAAGAGTGTAAAAATTTTGATCCGATTTTGATCAAACTTGAAATACATGTTTAAAACCCAATATATTGGATTTTAACTTCTTGAATTATGGCACTTGACTGTACAAAAAATCGTGTTTTTAGCTTGTGGTCCCTCTAGAGGTCACAATTATTATCGTAGTATTATTTTGTAGTATTCTATAGAATTCTATAGAAAATCGGCCCAAAACTGACAGACAAAATGGCCGCCCTTTGTTCTCAAATAGCGTAAAAATATGGTATATCAAGATTGTGGACCCTATAGAGGTCACAATTTTTATCCGATTTTGTTGAAACTTGAAATGTAAGTTTATCACCCAAAGATCTTGGTTCCTTTCGATATTCGCACATATCGGACTGTAACTTACTGAATTATGGCCCCTGATTGTACGAAAAATCGCGTTTTTATCCGATTTAAAAAAAACGTATTATTATATCACCGTTACACAACAAGGACGACTGAGTCTGAATTTCATGAAAATCGGACTAAAAATGACAGACAAAATGGCCACCCTTTGTTCTCAAATAGCGTAAAAATATGGTATATCAAGGTTGTGGACCCTATAGAGGTCACAATTTTTATCCGATTTTGTTGAAACTTGAAATGTAAGTTTATAACACAAAGATCTGAGTTCCTCTCGACATTCGCGCATATCGGACCATAACTTCCTGAATGATGCCCCCTGATTGTACGAAAAATCACGTTTTTAGCTTGTGGACCCTATAGAAGTCATAATTTTTATCCGATTTAAAAAAACGTATAATTATATCACCGTTACACCCTAAGGACGGCTGAGTTCGAATTTCGTGAAATTCAGCCCAAAATTGACAGACAAAATGGCCGCCCTTCGTTCTCAAATAGCGTAAAAACATGGTATATCAAGGTTGTAGACCCTATACAGGTCACAATTTTTATCTGATTTTGTTGAAACTTGAAATGTAAGTTTATAACCCAAAGATTTCAGTTCCTTTCGATATTTGCGCATATCGAATTGTAATTTCCTGAATTATGGCCCTTGATTGTAGGAAAAATCACTTTCTTTTTAGCTTGTTCTCTACCATCTCTCGAAAATGTGGGCATAATCTGCCTGGCAGCCACTGGTTAAGTAAAGTAGATCAATAAAGAAATTGCAAAAAGACCTTACCTGTAAAAATTCTTATGCACTTTAACAAATCTGTGTAGTTGTAAAATTACAGCATAAGCGACATGGTAATGTAAATTGCACCTGTCTGTGCGATTGTTTACTTGTCATGAAAATGCAATTGTTGAGTGCACAAAAGTTTAACGTCTCACAAATAAACACTTTAATGATATTCTGATTTTAATTTCCTGAATACTTATTACTATCTACTAAATGCAACGGGTATGATTCCACGTTGAAACTGATACAGGTGTCGCTAATCCCATATGGATAACATATTGGACCCAGATGCCATATAGATATGATATTGGCCCCAGATACATATGTGGGAAATCCCATATGGATACCATATTGGACCCAGACATATTCTGATTTTAATTTCCTATCTACTATTAGTAATACTATTATTACTATCTACTAAAGGCAACGGGTATGATTCCACGTTGAAACCGATACAGGTGTATCTTTATTTACACAATACAGAGGCAGTATTTGCACTAAATTAGTAGAAAACTGGTCAGATTTATCAGATTCAGAGCGAAATATACATATGAATATTAATAATTTCGTTTGTGGTCTTCATTTATTAACTAGTTTGGCGGATAAAAGCGTTCTGGAATTGAAAAAATTTGAAGAACTTATTTTTTAAAACGCCATTTCATGGTTACCGGTTTAATATCATTTTTCACAATGCCGCAATTGTAACTTATATGGCCAACCATGTTAAAACTTTTCTTGGTGATTTTGGCGCAGAAAATCGATTAACCCTAAGCATTTCATTAGATATTAAAATTCCTGTATTCCTTATAGAATGCCAGGCTTTGGGTTTGTAGCATTATAAACAGTTAAAGGCTCAATACCACTCTTGTTGTAACTGAATAATATGTCCCAATCTTTATTCTGGTCAACAAATTGTACTATTTTACAGTATTCCAATTAATTGATGATACAAATTTCATCTTAACACACCTAATTTAAAAAATTGGAAAAATTGAACTAAATGATATGAAAAGCCTGACGTAAAGCTTTTCAAATGTTTCTTGGATTTAAAAATATTTTTGAACCCTCTGGACAAGTAAAATAGGATTTAATGGATAATTTACACAACAGGTAGGACACTAACACATCTAGTACTTAGAATAAGGCTATTTTTTATTTTCTGGAGCTGTCAAGCCAGCAAGAGTGTTATTGTCCCTTTAATATTAAGACATTTGAAGGCGTGGGTATATTGTTAAAACAACTAAGCGTTTGCGCATGCGCACACATGTCAAATTCAATCGTCTCATAGAGTGTATTCCGTTACTTCGCAGCAAGGAAATAAACGATGTTTTCCGACTGCGATAAAGAAATTTTGTTTCAGGGGCATGCACAGTTGTATTGCGACCAAGGGACATAGCTCTTATTCTCACTAAGAGTTATCTGCCTTGATTATGGAAACCGGGTAGATTTTGAAGCATTTATAACATATTTCCAAATGGTTATATCCTCAAAAATCAAATGTGGTCAGACTTCCATTGTTGATGAATGAAGTTTTTATGGTAAGTCTTATCATATAATGTTAAAATAATCCCGAAATAGTGTCTGTTTGTTGTAAAATAATTTGAGCATGAATCACTCTAGCTAATGTGCAGTGGTGAGTATGATTGATTTATTTTCAATATTTCAGATCAAATCTAATGCCAAAACTTCATTTGAAGACTATGACGCAAATCCTGTAGTAAAAAACGTAAGTACATAATTTTGAGTTCAAAAATCCTGAAGAGCCTTCTTGGGAACAAATATAACAAAAAAATTTTCCTTTCTGTATAGCACACTGCAGGGCTTCCACTTTAAAATTTTCACTGCCGGTCATTTTTGATAATCCACAAAAACTTTGCAAAGTAAATTCATATTTCATGTTTTTTATTCATGGTAGGGTATTGTGAATTCACATGTCAATACCACTTTGTCAGCATGGGGTACACAAAAAATTATATATTGGATTTAAAAATGAAATATTAGTAATGGCTTATAATAATTATTTATTAATTAAATATTCCCTTTTGGCTACTTAAATAATCAAAATAGCTGAATTCGCCATACAAAAACCATTCCAGTAGCTCACACGTAATTACCATGTGCTCTATAGAAAACCCACTGACCTGGATAATTTTGAGTTGTAATACAATAACTTTGAAATGAAGATAAATATATAACTATCCACGGCATATATCTCACATTTATTGGTTTTAGACCATTTCTTAAGGCATTAAGGACTGCAGAATTGAGACGTAAATCCTAATAATGAATAACTAAATAACTAATGGATAAGTAACTTCACAGCTAGCGACACTAGCGCCCCCTAGAATATCGTCATGTATAAGAGTAACCATATATCCACAACATTTTTGCAACAGGTGGAATTATTAATATTGCTGCACAATAGCACTGGAATACGTAATTTTCTTAATGTTTTGATAAGCAAGTTAACTAATCTCTAGATGTTATTTCTACAATTCCCACAAGGCCGTCATACCGCTATAAATAAAATATAATGCATTTTTCTCCCAACACGTGCGTTTTTGGGGATTTATGTAATTTCTATGCTGTTTTTATTTAATATATGACAGTTGGTTGGATTCGAAGAGCAGTACTTCATATTAATTGCTCTTTTTTCGAAGATCATAATAATGTTGTTTACATTGTGCATGACCGTAATTGCGGTAAATAGCTTTGTTGTAGAAAATTCTTATGACACGTGGACAATATGGGAGCACTCAAATAGTGAATGATTAACAATGGACCGCTTCATGCCATTGATAGGATTTCCACATATCAATTAACTTTCATTGTTCTGCTACCAGACACTCATCATGAAATATCAACACAACACTCAGTATAATCTGTTGCCGACTATGTATACGACTCTTATAACACCAATCACAAGATAATGTGGTTTCAATATGTGTGCATTATTCTGTACTGGCCGTACAATTGTATAGTTACATAGTGGAGATCGAACGTAGTCATGTTTGAAAATTGTGTTTTGAAAGAAAGGTTCTTTTTTCCTGCGTGGAAAATGACCGATGGGTCAGATCTAGTTACTGTCATTTTCCATAGACCTAGGTCTTGACCGTCATATACGGCGGACGTGGAACCCATGGCACACTGTATGGCATAACCCAACTTCTTTATCCTGGATGGTGCAGAAAAGTAGGATGTTAAACCCTGTTTTATTTTTCGTTTTATTCCCAGAAAAAATGCTACAATTTATAATGACATTAAAATAACATCAGAAAATGGTCTTTCCTTATAATCAGGGCTGCCGACAACCAGTATTGCATGTAGAAATATTGTCGTTGCCACGTTGTTTTCAAATTTATAGACAAGGATTAGGGAAAAATGATGGCATTATATTGTATTAATTAATGTCTTTAACATATTGTCTAATATGTACTCAGATCAAATGAAGAATGAGTGACAGATTGTTATATAAAAAAAGAGTCATAATGTGGTAAACATTCAATTCTAGGTTGATAACCATATATCTTGTGAGAAATTTCTGCGGTAAGTTTCCACTATCCATATAAGGGTGGGTTTCGACATCATTAGGCTAATTGACCAATCTCTTTAATTATTTACATCATATTTGACCAGTTAGATAATTGAACATCAAAACCCAAAGCTACAAAACTCCTATTTGTGAGTATTCGTGAGACAGCAGCTTGATTCCAGTAGGAAAAGATGTAGAAATTTTTATCAGCAGACTCACCCCAGCAAGTCTGGCTGGTTGAGGTTTGAGAGAATGACCTTACTGTTATTGTACTATGCTTGTATCTATGTATCTGGCTATGATATATAAAATGTAAAAACGAATGGTGCATTGTTATAACTACTGAGAAGACAAACGTCTTAAATATTTGGATAAGAAGAGAATATATAATACTATGGGGTCTATATACTGTGGAGGTTACCTAAGTTCTGTAGAGAGGTTCTGGTTAATGTTTCGTCGTCGTTAGCTAGTACCACTGACAACAAGAACTAGGCTAACAAGAATATGTCTGGTTTAAAGTCGGGCAATAACATCATAGTCTGATAATCCAAATATGGTAGTCCCCTGTGTTAGAAACGTGGTTAGCCGCCATCCTAGGTGCCCATATAAGTATACTGTGTTGAAATCCAGGGTAGCGTCTGTGCAGCTGACAAATCCGATAAAGGAGGTACCTGGTCAATTTCCTGGGGCTCAATACTGACTCATGCATGTATCATCTTTACATAAGAAAGAGCGATTTAAGTTTCTTTAGATATCATTGGGAGGCTGGGAACACCACAGCCTCGTGGGCTGAGAGGCTGGGAAATAAACATCATTTGGATTTGAGCACCCCGTTAAGTCGTAGGCGAGCCATATGATGTTAGGGGGTAGATCAGTAAACTTGCCCTATGAAATGGTGGGGTAATTGATCACAATGTGAAGTAAGAAAAGATGCCTGGGTCATATGTAGGATGTGGCGACCGGAATCAATGGCCCGCTTTCTACGTCTGACAAAAGACCCATGGTGCTACACGCAGCTTAATCTGCGATACATATTTTGTCCATTGCTAATCAAAAATTATAATCTAACGTTTTTGATTCACAGTAACTGCGAATCATTAATATGCCTGTCATTTTGGATATTGACACAAAGATTTATCTACATTTTGAAGACTAGAAGGCTTTCTCAACACTTTCAACGTGTATAAAATGTCAAATAAAATTTTATAAACAAAACCGAATTCTCCGTCTGACAGTTTCTTCTCGAACTACCAGACACAATTCATTATGCTATATAATACAGGGACATAACTCTATGAATAGGGACTATTTAACTGGAAATAGAGAATCAAATAGTACCACTCACGTTGTGAGACATGCCAATTTCGAGTAATTATATGTGTATTCAATTTGAAAAAAAATAAATCCAGTGTATTCCCCACGTATTGTAAATAAAATGTAAAAAATAAATACATGTAAACGTATTGTAAAATGAGAAATCAAAGTAAGAATTCCCATAAATTATTATTGTTTATATCGCGTGGGTCTATATTAATCAAATGTGAAAAATTACCGACAGCCCTGCTCATAACTACAATTGAACAATAATTTCAGGCTGTTATTGCTTCCAATGGACAACTTACACCTAATTATGAGTACATAGCAGAATTGAGAAAACAGTCAAAGTAAGTATTTATACTAGATATTTCAATAAGCGATCTAGCTGCCTTACTATCAGTTTGGATCAAAGCTCCCATACATGTGGCTCATGTGAACCAAATGGAAATATGTAAAGAAATGCACATGACATATAAGGTTTCTTCCTCCTTAATAGTCAATGTCCTGGTAAAGATGACAATCTGGTGCCTTTGTTAATGTGTGGCCTATAGATATGTTCTATCCAGACAAAAGTGTGATGTGTGGCAAGAACGTGTTGCTAACCACACATGAAAATGACATTTTTGTTCTTCCACATCTTCAGACAGTTGCACTGACCAGAATACAGGTTTCTGACAACATTGAAACAGAATAACCAGATTTATTCTTTAAAATAATCTAGCATGGTTCTTTTCAGAGCACAATTGCAATTTCAGAAAGCTATTTCCCTTTGTGTATAAAAATAAATTGTTTTGTTTATATTTTGTAGGTTAAGACGGTAGGGTGATTGGTTACTTAGCTATATAAATTTAACATTTATGTTGTCTAGTGGCGTCTAGTGCTGTGCAGTGAATATTCCAAATCATATTTCACAAAAAAAAACACAGAAAAATTATCATTGTCATTTCATCTTTAGGGTGTCATTTGCTTTCTTACTGATTAATCATCTAAATAGATATCAAATCCTGACATTTATAGATTTAGTTTCAAATTTGCCAAGATTTATCAGTTGGTCATAATCTAAAAGGAATCAGTTTCGAAGCAGTTATTTTCAAAGATTTATGTAGTATCCATCTATTGATAACTCATATGATTTAGCTGCTAGTGGCTGTAGGTTTTGTTGCCCTGTGCAACTTATTTTTCATCTTTTTATAACAATAATTTAATTGTCTCCTTTACAAATGGAGATTGTAGAGATAGAGCCCTGCTTACAATGTACTGCACTATAACCAATAACACTGCTTTTCAAAGTTACTACTACATTACTAAAGCTAATATTTATTTTTGTACACCAGCATTTATTTTCTGTTTGTCCACATCTCCTCATAGATACCCAAAAGATGAAATTATTTTTTGTTTTGTTTGAAATTGATTTGCATAATTTTTGGAGGACAAAGGTGTTCATGACTGTCAATGTTTTCAGATAATTCTTAGCTTCAAGAGTCCATTCATCATAATCTTCCATCATCATCATTATATATCACAGCCCATTTCATTTATTGATATGCAAAAGTTATAGACAGTTATTAAAGGACATGATTGTAGGTTTTGTTGACTGGCAACACAACGTAAATGATATGTTATATTTACTTCAATATCCGTGTTTCTTTTCAAATTAATTAAGATGTTAGATAAGTTTGTTTTTTAAAAGTTCAGACATTGATAATTCGGTAGAAATCTTTGCTTTTATTACATTTTGATTGTTAACATCCTTCTTCCCATTAAAAGGTTATTAATATTTTTAGATAGCTGCCTAATCTAACTTTAATATATATATATATATAACTAGGTAAGGTAGCCTACAGGTAATTTATAAAACTAGGGATTTGGGTGGATCATCATGGTCTTTTGTCACTTCAAAATTTTGATGTTATTGGAAATTCATATGTCTGGAACAAGTCGTTGCTATTTGTATTTTAGAGGGGAGCCGAGAGAAGTACCCCTTAATCAACAAATTGAAAAAATCGCTCCCCTAAAAAAAGCTCTGCCAGTTAAGAAAAGAAGAGTGATTTTGAAATTAAGGAAAGCGATCTCATATTAAGGAGAGTGTTTAATTCTAAAGATCAATAACTGCATGTTAGGGAGAAAAGCCTCCCCTCGGTCGACTTTCAGGTACGCGGCAGATGCTTGGCCTTAAAAAACAATAACTGCTGTAACAATTTGTCAGTATGATTTACACCAGGGCTCACACTGGCTTTCAATTTTTTTCCGCCAAAATGAATAATAATTTTTATATAAAAAAATGTTCATATTTTTTTCCCCGCCAACTAAAATATTTTATCTGCCAAAAATGTGTGATAACATGTAACAATTCTATTTCATTACCGGTATACAATATACAACACCTTACAAAATCTGTTGTTACATAAAACATTAGCCCAGGTTTAAGATGATTTACTAAGATCAGACTCTATTTTTGGTGACTTTAGTCTTTTTGCATGCCATTATTGCACAATATATTTTCAGTATTTACACGTCAAATCTCATCCATGGATTGTCAATTTTCTATAAATTTATGTTTTGCGTGTACACTAGGCCTATTGTTATTTTCAGGTACCGTAACAGTATCTGAATACTGATAGAATGATAGAAATTTCAATTTCATTTGTAAGAGATGCTTACAATCAGGCTTGTCGTTCATTCACTTGGAGCATTTTTGCAGCCGTAATTAAACATATGACGGACTGTTTTCTCGCTCAAGAATTGTCGCTATTCGAGTCGTTCTTACGTATCCGACCAATGGTTATTATATAATTCGAAATAATAATATCCGATTAGGGCATGCTTGTATATTTTGCATGCTGTATGAAGCCACAGTAAACGGAATTCAACTATGAAAATATTTAATTCTCTTTGAAAAGGATTTTCGGCCATTTTGATTATTCACATTTATTTTTTGGCAATAATCAATCAAGTGATCATTAATCCATGACAATTGGTTATATACGACTAGAATTTTAAGATTTTTGTCGCCAGTTCTCAAAAAGAATCGCCAGTACCCTAAACCTTTTTCGCCAAAATTATCGCCATAATCAAATTTTAATCGCCATTTCCATATTTTTATCGCAAATTGCGACTTTGGCGGCCGACAGCGTGAGCCCTGGTTTACACCAAACATTTATAAAGTTTAGTATAATAAGTATTTAATAATTAAATATTCCTTATTGGTTTTTCAATGGTGGTCATATGCCTGACCAAGTAGGCTTTATCTGGGCTACTCAGAAAGGTCATTGCACAAAAGAGAAATTATCTCCAGGATACAAATTACATACTACAAATAGTTGACCAGAGTTTTGATGGGTTCAAAGTTAAATTTTTATATGCCCACGATTTCATGTCGACGTATTATGTTGTCACCCCTGTCTGTCCGTCCACAATTTGTTTGTGGACACTCTACAACACAACTTTTATCCCAGTTTGACAAAACTTGAAATATAGGTCTATCTCCGAAAGAAGTCCGTTCCCTTCAATATTGGCATGTATCGGACCATAACTTCATGGATTATGGCCCCTGATTGTCTAGAAAAATCACGTTTTTAGCTTGTGAACACTCTAGAGGTCACAATTTTCATCTGATTTTGATGAAACTTGAAATACATGTTTATAACCCAAAGATGGTTCCTTTCAATATTTGGGCATATCGGATCGTAACTTCCTGAAAAGTGGCCCGTGATTGTACAAAATATCACGTTTTTAGCTTGTGGTCACTATAGAGGTCACAATTATTATCTGATTTAAAAAAAAACGTGTGAATTTATCGCCGTTACACCGTGATGTCCGTTGAGTTCTAATTTCGTGAAAATGGGACCAAAACTGCCGAACAAAATAGCTGCCCCTTGTACTCTCAAGGTCACAATTATTATCTGATTTAAAAAAAAAACCTCTGAATTTATCGCTGTTACACCGTAATGTCTGTTGAGTTTTAATTTTGTGAACTGCTGGACAAAATGGCTGCCCCTCGTACACAAATAGTGTAAACATATGGTATATCAAGGTCACAATTTTGATCCAATTTTCATGAAACTTAAAATACATGTTTATAACCCAAAGATCTTGGTTGCTTGCGATATTTGCGCATATCGGATAGTAACTTCCTGAATTATGGCCCTTGATTGTACAGAAAATCCCGTTTTTAGCTTGTGGTTCCTCTAAAGGTTACAATTATTATCCGATTTAAAAAAAAACATGTGAATTTATCACCGTTACACCGTAATGTTGGTCAATTTTGAATTTCATGAAAATCGGACCAAAACCGCTGGACAAAATGGCCGTCACACGTACCCAAATAGTGTGAAAATATGGTAAGGCCACAATTTTTTTCCAATTTTGATGAAACTGTAAATTTATGTTTATATCACAAAGATCTTAGTTCCTATCGGTCATCACACATATCAGAACGTAACTTCTATCACAATTTGTATTCAATTTATAAAACTGTTTAGATATATCACCGTTACATATCAATGAAGGTTGAATTCGATTTTCGTAAAAATCCGACCGAAACTGCCAGACAAAATGGCCGCTCCTTGTATGCAGATAGTGTAAAAGTATGTAATACCAAGATTGTGAGCCCTCTAGAGGTCACAGTTTTTGTCTGATTTTGATGAAACTTAATATATCTTTATAACACAAAGATCTAGACCCTATTGATTTTCGCGCATTTCAGACCATAGGTCACAATTTTTATCCGATTTTGATGAAACTTGAAATGTATGTTTATAATCCAAAGTTTGTGGTTCCTTTTGATATTTGCACATATCGGACCATAGCTTTTAACTTGTGGACCCTCTACAGGTCACAATTTTTATCCACAAGCTAAAATTAATATCCGATTGACTTTGAATATATACACAGTGTTTAAGGAAGGTCATGAGACGAAGAAGCCTGTTGATTTTCAACGATTTCCAATGATAACTGCCAGAGTTATGGCCCTTGATCACTTTGAAAAATCTTGTGGATGCCCTAGAGGCTAAAGTTAATATCCGATTGACTTTAGATTTATATACACGATGTTTAAGGTCATCAGATGAAGAAGCCTATGTTTTTCAAAGATTTCTCATAATTACTGTCACTTTAAAAAATCTTGTGGACGTTTTATACGCTGAAATTAATATCCGATTGACTTTAAATCTATACACAGTGTTTAAGGTCAGAGAAGAAGAAGCTTATTGATTTTCAACGATTTCCGATGATTACTGCCAGAGTTATGGCCCTTCATCGATTTTACAAATCTTGTGGATGCTTTTAGAGACCATAGTCATCATCTTATTAGGCTTTCACCTTCGGTGAAAGGCTATTGTTATTACTA